CTGAGCCGTGTACACAACTCCCAAAAAGGTAATTTTTAAAAATCACACACTCCTAATAATTATGTTAGAGATTCTGGCTTCCATACAATTGTATAAGCCGTAGCAATGCAAGATGGGGTAATTCATCAACCAAACCAGTCAGAGGACAACGCAGCGTTCCACGACAGTGTTGGAGATGCCAACCTCCAAGATTCTGAGAGAAATGCGAAAGTGAAATCAGAAGACTACTATGACGACACAGATTTTGAAACAGTAGAAGCCGATGAAACTCGATAGAGCAGAAGCACCCCGTCAGACTCACAGCGCATCTACAGGGGACGGCTCGCTGCGAATTGCGAATATGCTTTTAATTTTGTACAGAATTATCCATGAAAGTAGCGAAAGTCGTTGAAAAGTGTCAATACGGCGAAGTAGAACGTCTTGGCCGTACTCGGGCAAAAATCCTGTCATTTTTGACATGTCGAACGGTTCCTTCAAATCTAACAATATTACCTTTTTAGGTATGTTGGATTTGGAGAAGTTATGATTGTGGAAAGTGTAGAAACTCTAGCATTCACCAAGAATGTTCTGTGTTAATCGAGCTGAATTGGTATTTTGCATTAGCTTCCACACGTTCAAAACCTCTTTTCAAGAACCCACACTCGTTTTCAGTCTATTTTTAAGAAAGCTATAGCCATCTGGATGAATGTTCAAATTTCAACCGCATTCCTCCATGCAGTAGATGAGCTGCGCCAAGGTCAACCCACAAGATCAGTAGAATCACAGCTGGCTAATATTTTCATGGTTAGATCATCGTATTCATCTCAATCTCTTTGCAGTATTCATTGCTGACGGTCTTTCTCTGACGTGGTGCTTGTTGAATGACTTTTATGGTTGAGCGCGGGATTTTTATTCACGGTTGGTCTTCGGGTAGGGTTAGGCAACTTTTGCCTACTTCTGCTTGTGAAGAAAGTCGTTCAATGGACTTTGCCACTGGAAGAGGGGAGGGGCGTTTCAAAATCCTCCTTGACACTGCGCACGTGTCTACCATAGCGTTAGCAAAAGGGCGTCTTTGCATACATTCGAAAAAGGCTGAATGAAGATCCTGGCATTCAGCGCTTCAAGACGGTTTTTCACAATCAGAAGGCCACCTATTAGAACTAATGCAGAGGTGGTCAGCGGTGTCAGAATGGAGAAAAAATATGAGAAACTTCCCAGGGATCTTTCCTTCCCCATTGATTCCCGCATTAGTGCGACTCGTCTCATCGGTGTTGCCCTCTTCAACGCTAACGCTTTCTATGTGCTAAACGGCTAGAGACCTGCGGCGAGTGGCTAGCCAGTTAGTGGGCGTGCGATCGATAGCGGCGCGGGTTGGACATGTAGGATTGCTGGAGGCATACCTACGCTGCGAATTGCATAATCGGCCCGCACCCTCGAGGGGTCCACCTTTCATTTCATCAGGTACGTTTCCACCTCATCGACCTATCGCGGAATCCTCCTTCAATACATCACTCGCACTTGGACGTTTCGTCTTACCTCCGTTTTAGCTCCGATGGCTCCTATTACCGCCAATTCCAACAATGACGAGAACACGAACGTAAGGCAAACCAACATCCAAACATCTAGAAAAGCGTCATTCCAGGAGCATGTGGGGAATTTCATGGACAGTACTCACCAAGTGCTTTGACATAGCTAACTCGAGGAAGATTCCGCATAATGTTCCCGAATTGAAAGGTCAAGGCAAGGAGAGAGTTCACTCCAAGCATTGTTCGAGCAGGTATCATCTTCGGACCAAGGCAAAAGCTTATCCAACTTAACGGAAGCGTTTGATTGTATCATGTATAGGTGCAATAGCTAAATATCTTATGAAAGTAAAGCTTACCTTATAAAAATAGTGAGGTATGTAGGAATATAGGCTTGAAATATATACCACCCGTATCGACGGCTGAACACAAAAGTCATCGTCAGCTCATTCCAGATTCCTGCCGGATATATCTGCAAGACAAAATCTAGCAGTACTCGAAAACACCAACACTCCCTTTCCTTTGAACATTCGAAAATGTGTTTTTAATTTTTTTTTGTAATTGGCGACTTCAATTTCAAGGCAACGATCAGGTCAATTGATGTGGCAATTTCACTCGAATATGAGAGTAGTGATTCGAAGTAGACGGCAAAAATCGTCAAAGTAACAAGAAATGGGGGCTTTTTGCTTTACGCCACCGAGAGCTCTAAGAGGCAGGGAGGGATATGAGATGAGAGATAATTTGGGTCAGTGAGGGTAAAGAAATCCGAGAGGGAGTAAAAAAAAGGTGGGAACGCGAGAAGTGCAGAAATTCCTTCGGTGGAGACCGAACCACAAGCCACTGTTTCCACATGATTTTTTTGGCGTTCCCAGAGCCGCTCAGGAAAAATAATCTTCAGTTTTGTGCTCCGTGTCTACACTATAACATGCAGAACACCGTTTTGAAAAAAAAACGCCCCATGTCCTACAAGAATCCTGGTTAGTGACCGCTTCGATGAGGATGCACGACCTGAGCAGTGGCGGGCCACACCCCTAACCACAGGCGCATACTTCAGTGAGCCTGATCTCGGACCTTGCCTTCTGAAGCAAGCGATCACATTGATATCGTGATGGAGCTGCTCATTATGCGTCGTCAACCGATAAGCTCTGATAGGTGATGGTTGGACCTGTGTAACTCCATGAAGATGCGATGTTTCAAATGAAGTGCACTCCAGAATGGAAAGGAAGATAACGATAAAGGCGGCATATCTAGCACGCCACCATTGCACCCCTTTCCACGTCGATAACTAGGTGCTGAACCGGAAGTGGGTTTCGGCGCCTTATCACGCCGTTGATAAGGCGCCACTGCCCCTGAAGCGTCACCTGTCGTCTCATTGGGTAGGACCCCTACCCAATCCACTATGTAACTTTCCTTATCGTTCCCATAGGTTTTATCGTGACCACTTCCTTTGACTGTTTATTGCTATCTGATGGAAACTACAAGTATGACAAAAAGAAGAAAAAAGCGGTGACTTTCGTGTTTTTTTCAACAAATAGGACAAGTGGAGCTCCCAGTAATGTGTCGTGCTAAAGTACCAGGCTAATATTAAATCTGCAAACCTGACGTTCAATTGAGGTTGAGTAATTGCTGAGCACAAAATCCGGCAGCACAATCTCCTTTTTGAGAAGCGAAAGGCCTTCGGTCCAGTTAGTCCATTGCATATCAACCTAAGCGTGAACGATTGAATAAACAGGACAGAAATAAGTAACCCTCCAAAACCAAAGAAAATAAAAAAAGCACCCGATCCACACTAAAAGTACTGATTCCTAAATTGCTTTCTGCCCTACATACATAGTTCTTACATACATATACTTTTGATGATTTTTCTGGATTCAGCAAGACCTTTGCTGAAGTATCAAAAATTTAATATTTAGTGTATTCCTATTGCTTTCAGTAAATCTGGAGCCTGTCAGAGCATACTTTGAATAACATTAATTAGTTGTCGGCCAGTTTCAATTTTTGTTGGATTGTCACCACTTTTTTCTGAACTGTGTTTCTGTTTTGCGAGCCTTATATTAGAGCAGCATGTTTGGATAGAACGATATAAATAAATTATGTATAAATAACTGAAATTGGTGGGGCTTGAGGAGTAATATTCTGAAAATCATTATTAATGAGCGGCATTTCAGAAAGCTCTAGATGATATTATTATAACTATTATGCCCAATCAAGCCCTCCTTTCTAGAGAGCTAGTTGCTATCGAACTAATGAGAGCATAGAAGTACTGATCTCCGTTTGGGCAGAATTCGTTAGGGCGAATGCATGACACATCTCAAGAAGTGAAAAACCCCCAACTTTCCAGTTAAAAGAGTGTGTAGCACTGGAGGTCATGGTTTGCTGAAGTTCGTTTAATTTGTGATTTTTTTTAGTAAAGGTTGCAACTGCCAAATTTCGATATGGTGTTTGGACGTACCTCTTGGTTGTTATAACTGAACGATTCCAGTGTAAGATGACAGGATTGACGATCCATCGGAAATGCGCTGGAAATAAAGTTTTAACGGCATTGAAAAAGGATAGTTAACCTTATCCCTACCTGAAGTCCATCGAACAAGGACCTTTCACCTGAACTCTGTAATTAACCCATACGGTTCCATTCGGATAGATCATGAGAAAAACGTTTTTGAAAGGCGATTTGTGGATATGCGCCGCCTTACTGTTAATGAAAACGGTATTCGGTTTCCAAATTTGATCCAGAATCTGAAAAAGGGTAATCATTGGAATTTTCAACCGCGCGGCTCAGCCAAGCTCATCGAATAATGTGCAAATAAAGCAGTGCGTGAAATGTGGGGGAAGGGGCAAAGGAGGAGAAGTTACGTGATTTTAGTACGAAGTTGAGCGAATCTGAAAATAGGATAAGAATGCACACAAGTGCTGACAGAGCACTCGAAGGTCGAACTACCTCGATTTTTACAGAATTTGCAACGGGCGTTCTAAGGTGAGCGTAAGGTAAAACAACTAAATAAAACGTGGAGTTGGAAATCAGCTACGAGACCGGGGTAACCAAGAAGCAGGAAAATTTTCCCACCGGCCGGCTGAAGCCCAGCATCGTGCAGTGCTGCACATCAGTGAAGAGTATGAGGAGCAGAGGTGAGTCATTTTGAAGAAGCATGCCATTTGAAGATGAGATGGCAATTCTACAGGTTCCCCGACAAGCTCGCTCAAAAATGCGGCCCACAACTAAAGCCGATGATTGATCTTATTGCAGTCTTATAGAAGACATCAAGAAATGGAGAGGATCGAAATTAGGAAGGCTATGATTCAAATGTGTAGCAATTAAGGCGAAGGGTCCTGGAGAACACGACCTGTTGCAGCCTTACAGTTTTTGAACGCGCTACTGCGGAAGGAAAAATCTTTAAAGGATAAGTATAAATCATTCGGCGTTGATCAATACCGCTTGAGGTGCGCCACGCATACTGCTTCCATTCAGGATCGTAGAGGCAATCGCGTGGTAAGCAGCGCCGCTTGCATTAGACCACTTCCGCAATACAACATCTCCGAAAAGGAGGCGTGGCGAGTTTTGAGCTCAACCTACTCAAAGCTAAGGAATGCTGTACATATCAAATTATCAGATTATCACAGATCCAATTCGGTTTCATTGTGAGGAGGTCTTAAACCAATTTCCAAGTTCTCGTTAAATAGGTGGTTGAGAACTGTTGATAAGCGCAGATTTATTACCTCCACAACCATCTTCGATTTGCATGTTAATCGACAGCATGTCTACACAGTGTTTTGAAGCTGTTCAAAAAATATTGCCCGAATTATTTGAAAAGCGCTAAGAAACGTTTAACGCAGTGTCCAAAAGTTGGACTTTATTCAGCATACTCCCTCCGAGGGGTTCTTTAGTCCACTTTCAATTGCTTCTTTTCTCAATAAAGGCCATTTCTGTCTGGTAGCGCAAGCGTGCGTAGGTAGTATCAAAATGGCATGTCTTACAAGCCGCGAGATAGGCGTAGACGACCCTTATCTCGCAGCTTTTCAGAGCAACAAGTCGCGGCTCAAAGAAAAATCCTATGTGATAGTTTTCAGCAAATGTATAATGTAAAAAGACCGACCTCCGAATTAAGTGACAGGTTGTATTTACAAGGGCTCATATGGTCATATCGTAAAGCATAATCCATCCAAAGTTCCGTCACATAGATGTCCATATCAAAGTCGCTAGTGATCTCATTCACCGAGTTGACTTCTTGAACCCACACCTCAAGAGAAGATCATGTTTGAGAAAATATTCATTTGCCTTCTTCATAACATCCAACAGACCTCAATCCACACTATCACTCCGGTTTCTGACGGCGTCTTGAACGACTTATAGTTATCAAGAAGCCGCTCTATGATAGTCTTGTCACTAGTGCAAACACCAACTTCCTCGTGATCTTCTGTGCCAGCCTAAATTAAAATTATGAAGGTAAACTAGTCTATTTCCCGCTTCACACATGTTTCACCGGAAGACCTTTGTGGAAGTCCGCCTCATTCATTAAATTTGCGGGTCCCTTTCGTACGTGCCCCATGTTTTTTTTTCCCGCAAGAAGGAAAAACGATTGACAAAGGTTCAATAAGGGCAAGCTTCCGTAGATGAATAGTATGAAAAGAAATGAAAACCCTATTAAAGTTCCTGCTGTGTATACGAAAGGCTGCACGAACAACAAGTAAGCAGCAATACTCAAGCATTTTTGGTAATGAGGTTTTTCCTTGTAATGCGTTATACTCCCGCTCTCTTGCTCTTTGCTCTCCTAAGGCAAAGGTAGGAAAGGTATGGTGATCATATATCATGTTGGGGTGAGAGGGTAGTGGTGGGAGGTTTTGACGGCTTTCATAGGGGCAGCCTGACTGCTGGCCTAACTATTCGAAATCAGATGGAACTGTTGCGACGGGACAGCGCTCTCACGAGAGCCAACCCACACCAAAAGCTCCATGAGCCGAGTGTACCACATCATAAAGGGACTGACACTTTCCCGACAGGTGTCTTGGGCGCCATCGTACAACAACCCTGCACGAGTTGAACCAGATGTGCTATGGAACGATGCTGCGAAAATCTACCCATTATAAGATTTCACTTTTTCGTGGATCTCTTGCAGAAAAATACTTGAAGAGCCAACATGGTGCTAAAACGACAGAGTTCGTCGCCCTCAGTACTCCAACACGACAACTAGACTGGGTAAACCCGTTTCTTAATGGCAAGGGTTGTAGATTGTGATGATTGTATTTCAATAGTATATGGAAGAAACGTTTTTCAATGCATTCACTTGCGTTGCCGTTCAGACAGGACAAAATACAACAATCTGCAGTCTCCAGCTTCTCTCTTCTTCTTGTAACCTCGGCATCCTTGTTCTTATTTGTGTTAGTTTCTTGTGCCGTACGAGGTTTATAGGTGGAACATTTATTAGTTCGGCCTAACGTTTCGACAAAATCGTCGTCTTCTGAGGCCTAAATGCGGTTCAAGGTTAAGACTTACGTTCTAATCCACCAAGCGCCTTATCTTCTCTAGCGGTTCCGACATTCCGTCAGGACTCCCACCGAGAAATATAAGAAAGACAAGCAAAAAATTCACCCAGGGTTCCACCATTCGCGCACAGACGTTACCCAGTAAGAAATAATGCACACAGCATTGTCTGAGACAATACGGCGTGCATTATTTCTTACTGGGTAAAATCTCTGTGTGGTAGCGGGATTTCCGCGCAAACGGTGGAACCCTGGGTGATTTTCAAAATTTATTTTTCTTATGTTTCTCGGTGGGACTCCTGACGGAATGTCGGAACCGCTAGAGAGATAAGGCGCTTGGTGGATTAGAACGTAAGTCTCAACCTTGAACCGCATTTAGGCCTCAGAAGACGACGATTTTGTCGAAACGTTAGGCCGAACTAAAATGTTCCACCTTACAAACTTCGAACGGCACGAACAACTAACACAAACAAGAACAACAATCTGTCTTCTCTTCTCAGTCAGACTAGTACGGCTTCTCTGAAATATAAGTTTGGCCACCAAGAAATGCCTTCACTTTTGTGACGTTGATTCCATGCTATAGCCAATTTTCGCGATCTGTAAGTACTCATTGGCAACAGTTGGATCGAGCCCTCGCCAAACCATGCAAAAACCTGCATGAAGATTTGTTTGCAACAGCAGATAAATCTGAGAGCTTCTATGTTCTACAAGTAAGGACACTTGCTGCTAAGATACTATGGCATCTCCTGAACGAAGCGAACAGACAGTGCACGCTGCCAATGGCGAACTCTGTCCCACGGCTCCATGGCGAACGGAGTTTTTGTCTTTGCTGTTGGGTCACTTGAGAAGGGGGTGCTCCTCGATAACACAATGAGAATCTCCGTCGTTGGAAGCCAATGAGCAGCAGAGGCCGACTCCACAATCCAACACAGAACAGAAAGTCCTGCTTTGTGGTAGAACCGTACAAGATTGCTGTTGCTTGAAGTCTTAGTCGTGGTTTAGGCAGTCACTGTTAGACTCTAGTTCAGCAGGTCGTAGGCCAGGCGATGCGTCATCAAGGGGTTATTCTGGCTGATACGATATCATTGCACTAAAGTGCAAAATCTCCATTTTGCGAAAATCTGTCAAAAAGAAATGGAAGAATAGGACATGTAGGTTTTGCTTTGCATGCCGATTAGAGCAACTCATTGCCTTCTGATGAACATTCATTTCGGTTAGCACAGCACACCTTAGCCGAAAATAAGTTCAACAATGTCGACGACGCTAACACTTCGGGTTCTTCGAGTCGCACCCGAGAGTGCCGTTCAAACAGGCCATCCATTCCATGCACAGAAAACGGAGAGAATCAAACGCTTAGACTGTAAAACAAATTTGGGTTCATGTGCTTTGTATTTGTACTTATAGTAAAATTTATGGGTGACCTAAACGACATTTTTCCCGTTCAGCATGGTAAGATTGGCCTCCTAAGTTGGATGGGGTTCTATTAGGTTGTCTCATAAGTAGTGTCGCTTTTTTTCAACCAAAAATTTTCATCTAAATCCCATGCTTTTACATCAGTCATATACCATTCGAAAGAGAATTGTCTGCTCTACAAGATGCTATGTTCTCTTCCACCTATGTTCCAGGGTTTTCAAATTTTAGGCCTGCGAAATGGGAGGTCCAGCCGACAAAAATTGACCAAACCGACAACTAGCTCTAACTTTATTTTCCCTGGGGAGAAATCAATCAATGATGTACCCTCTACTTACTCATGACCTCTTCTAAACATTCCACCCTTAGGTTGCCGAAAAAGCTTTGCCGTGTTTCTTTTCGAATTGGCTGACCGATAAGCCATAGCAATTTTCAAATTAAAATTGTTCCTCGTAAACGCATTGTTTCATATCGAGTGGTGTTCCTTTTGTGAGCACTTCTTCTGCTCTATTCGCTCATTTGTTTTGTTTTTATGTTTGTTGGGAATTAGTTCGAATTTTAGGTGTTTAGGAATAAGGTGTTTTATCCACGAAAGTGACCGCATTTCTTTGAAAAAAATTATCCCTGAGAAGATGAGAAAATCAACCAGGCGTACATTCCTAACTTAGTCATGACTTGTTCTTTAAATTCTACTAGTTTTTCAATGTCTCGGCTGTAAAAAAATTTCGACCTAGATCTCAGGTAATGGTGCTCGACCGTCGAGTTCTGGTTGAAAAACCAGGTCTGGAAATGGAACGACGCGACTTGTTGGGAAACCTAATAGTGTAATGTTTAGAAGAGGTCATGTATAAGTAGAGGGTACATCATTGATTGATTTCTCCAAGGGAAAATAAAGTTAGAGATAGTTGTCGGTTTGGTCAATTTTTGTCGGCTGGACCTCCCATTTCGCAGGCCTAAAATTTGAAAACCCTGGAACAGAGGTGGAAGAAGAACATAGCATCTTGTAGAGCAGACAATTCTCTTTCGAATGGTATATGACTCGATGTAAAAGCATGGGATTTAGATGAAAATTTTTTGGTTGAAAAAAAGCGACACTACTTATGAGACAACCTAATAAATCGAAGTGATTCTGCATCCGCTTCTGGAGAGTTCTAACGCAAAAACTATACGGCTCTCCTCATCTACTATACGCTGGCAAACTTGAGCTCTGTTCAAGAATGCTCGGGAAAGTTCGGGCTCAGACCCACCTAAGAAGCCCTTACCATGGCTAGAAGTGCTGGGTACGCAAGTGCAAAGGTAGCGCCACCTTTCTACATCGAAACGCGTCACTAGGACCCTAGGCGCCATGGACTTCTAACAGACTCCACCAAACTTAACATGGTCCGCCCACCGTTCGATATCTTGTCTGCGTCGCTGCGTTGATCTGCTATGCTCTCTCTTCTCGGACTTCTCTACCGCTCTCCGCGCTCACATTCTCTCATCTCCCTCTTTTGAACTTCTCCACAGCATAGAGCAAAATGCTCGTATTTCCTGTGTATTTCAGGATTTTCTTTCCTTTTTTCTCCACTGGCGGTCCACCTCCCATCCCTACTTTCACATTTGAGTGGAATCAACCCATCAACGTAATCCTGATTCTTGCCTTCAAGGATAGCCTCGAGAAAATAGGTGTGGACGAGCGTTCACCAATGAAGCTAGAGGTGGAGGAGTGGTCTTTAAAAGAAAAGAAAGCAAGAGAAACCACCGATTACGCCCCGAACAAGACCCCTCTATTTCAGCCGCATTCCACCTTGGGATAGAGAAGGGGCGTGTTGGACGAGTTTCACGAATTTAGCTCCAGTTCCATTGCCAATGACATTGAACGCAATTCAACCGCTGCCACAACCTCGCCCGCACTTTGTAAGCCCTCAAATGTGTTGTTAACATAATTATGATGAAAAAGTCAATCCTACACCTCACCACTTGAGTTTCCGATTTTGCTTTCGTCAATGATTGGACAACTCCTCTCTTCGGAAATAGCGTGTTCTCCTAAAAAAAATGCTTGCAATGCAGTCACCATTGAGCATCTTCGGTTTCCACACTGTTAATGCACCACTTCTATGGTTTTGGAGCTTGCATGTGATGGAGGATTTCAAACCTTTCAAATATTCTTAGTTGCTAACTTTATAAACTGAATCTAGCAGCAGTTGGGGGACACGTATTGTGATAATACACTGCTCCGCATTATTATAATACCGACAAGAAATTTTTCAGATGTATTGCAAAATGCTTCCAAAGACGCCTTCGAAGAGAAAATGTAAAAACTTCTGAATGCGAGTTTGCACATAAACGCAAGCTTTTGGCTCGAGAACGCGAAATATTTTTCTCAAAAGCAGCAACCCTATATCAAATTGGTGAGGTAACATTTGCGTGTCTTGTGGTGGTACCATGCCCACTTGCACACATGCCGCCATTGGCTGACTTTGTCTCATTTCGTAAAGCCCTAGTGCAATCGCCGCGCCCTTTCCAGGTACGACAATTGAACAGGTATGATGCTCGTT